CCCCCCCCCGCGCTTCCAATCCAAAAGAAGTTCCTCACGCGCTTCAGCGGCCTTAGTCAAAATATATTGGCGTTGTTGCGATTCAAAAAACTCCCTAACAACTCTATAGATTTCTTCGCACAGCGGCAATGGAGGACAGCCCACTGTCACGAAGACGCCCCTGTCGAACAAAAGCCACTGACAGAAGGACCCCGGAAAGCCTTTAGCACCCTTGCACGCTTCCCAGAGCTGCGCCGCGCTGCGGACGCAACCATGAGTGGGGGCCAAAGCTTGCGTAAAGATACGCTTGGTGAGTCGGCAGAGCGACTGCAAGCGATGCACTTGCCGCAGGATCCTGCGCAGGAAGATGTTACCTTGAGTCAAGGCTGCATCAAAGTCACCATCTCTAGCTTTGGGCAGCAGGGGGACAGAGCAAGGTTGTTGCACGGGTTTGAACTTTTTGCAGCGTCCGCGGTATCCAGGAGGGAGCTTACGTGGACGACCATCCGACCACACAGCCGAACTCATGAATAGCGACTCACACGCGTGCACCCAACACTGAAAACCACTGGTCAAATCATTAGATTGTACACAATCCGACACGGCGCTAGATAATTCAGAAGCTGCAACAGCAGCCGACTCCTCCATCAACGAAGCGTTGAATAATACCTTATCAAAAGATTTCGGCAGGAGACACTTCCACCGGGGAGCCTTAAACACCTGCAAGTCAAAGCAACCCAAAAGCAGCGGATGTGAGTCAAAGTGGAAGTCAGGAACAACATCAGCCACACGCAAAGCCTGCGCAGCTTTTGGGTTTACCAAATAAATGAATGCCTTGTTGCATCTCTGCACGTTGGCTGCAATGGATGCCTCAGGGCTTGCGCCGACCATTGGGCCGCATCAATCCAGCCATGATTTTCCAGGAGAGCAAAAGTGGGCAAAGTATCCAGTGTTGTATTCAGGTCACCAGCAATAATGGAAGGGCCGTTGAAGGCCATCACGACTTTGAAGGCCGCCTCTAACAACATGTTGCTAGTGCGTAGGGTTGGGAGTGGGCAGATGACACCGGCGGTCCGTACAGTGTGATGATTTGCGCCACGCAGTGAGTGGAAACCTGAACGAAGGATTGTAGGAAACGTGATGAATCCCGTAGTTCAACAGGGGCTAGCCCAGGCGAGCTACGGATGGGTAGGTCAGTGAAGCAAGCCGTGCCTGACGCCAAGCCTTTCATTTGCGCAACTCCTGTTGCGTAGGGGGTCACTGGCGGGGAAAAATGCATTCGAAACCCCTCGCTTGTGCATTCTGCCTCTGATGACCGGGACAGCACTAGCAGTGTGATGCGTTTCGCTTGCAGTCCAAATGCCACTACCCAATGAGGCCAACACGTCTTCCTTACGCAGTAGCGCCCCTGCGTTCAACGTGCCAATTTGCAAACAAGAGGACACGTCGACACCACGCAGGTGCCAGGCAGACGGCCCTGGTTTACGCGCTTCGCCGAAGCGTTGGAATGGGGGCTGCCATAGAGCCAACAAGGATTCATTGCGCAGGGACACTGGGTGTGCAAGCATAGACCTGGCCAATGGGAGGGTCACACACTGTTTGCAGTCCGCAGCCCCATGCGTGCAGAGTCGCGTTGACAAAGAACCATGTTACTGAACCGCTGGGCCAACAGCTGCCCGAAAATGAAGAGAAGACAAAAGCGGCAGAACACCATCACACAGAGCGAGCATGTGGCACGGAGTCATCAGGCTTCCTACGCACTTCTCGCTCTTGTAAAGCAACCTCAACCGCAGAGAGACGAGCATGATGGTTCGCAAAGCTCTGATCCAAGCGGCTTTCTAGACGCGAGTCGTGCTGGGCAAACAAATCCCGCATCTGGTTAATCATATCAGAATGGCTTGCTTTCACATCCCTCTCCAATGATTGAACCTTCCCCGTCAGCGCGCACATTTGTGCTTCACTTGTAGTGATGGCATGCTGGACTTGAGAAATGGCCTCAACATTACTGGCGCTCAACATCTCACAAGCGGCCAATCGTTGCTCCAGCTTTACATTTGCAACACCCATCCCTTCCCGGAGCAGAGACTGCATCTCATGCCTCAACGATATTTGCAAGCAGTCAAACTTTTCCTGCACAGGAAACTTAGGTTCCATAGGTTCATCCTGCGACGCGGTCGCACACGACACCAAAACCTGGTCACCTGGCCCATGATTTGGGTCAAACGGCGTCACCATCACAGTAAACTCACCGAGCCGGAAATGGAAACATGGAGGGTTCTCGTCTGCTCCAATGAGCCAAGTTTGAACCCTGAGCGGACGAATCGCGCTGGCAGAGGACCGTCCCAATTGTCTTAGTGCGGCTGAGACTTGAGTGGCAGAGAGGGTATTTGGCAAATTGAGCGCTAAGAACTTCAAGCGAGATGGCTCAACAACACGCTCCAACAGGGCCCCAGGCCAGGATGCCCGATTGGAGCTGGGTCAACCCTAATGCACGCTCACAGCCATGGGCCTTGGCCTTGATTACCTCAAGGGAACCAACGCACGGAATCACGCGGAATCTGTGGTCACGAGTTTTATCCGGTGAACGCGGGCAGAGAAAGACCCCCTTCGTTCCCGAATCCCTAAGGGCGGCTTCAAGCGCAGCATCTAGGATAAGGAAATAGCCATGAAAGTGTTGCGCATCACGCGACCGACACTTTTTTCGCAGCTCACTATAAAAATGTAGAGCCCGCGAGTGAGAAATGACTCCATCTGCTTTCAAGGCCGGGATTGCTTGCGCTGCAAAAGACATTGGGTCCACAGCCACCAACTCCCACTCATCAGAAACAAGATCCCGAACAATCTTGATCTCAACAGGGGTGGCAGGGACAGGCTCAAAATCCACTGATGGGCAACTGGCGACAAACTCCGCAGCAACACCCCCAAATTGAACAATTGTGCCAGGAACCAGTATCGGCCTCCCGTGCGCATCACACGCAGGTAGCTCAATGAATTTGCCAGCGCCAGGCGCTAAGCGGCCAAGGACAAAAACCACAGTGGCGTCCAGATGAATTGGTCTTGGCGGCAAGTACGGCATTATGTGATCCAGTTGCATGACATACAGCCCTGGCCCGTCAGATGGAAACTTGTCCGAATCCCGACGAAGGAGGCCACCCCCATCAGGCACTCGGAAATGCTGAACATCAACATGCATTGTCTTGGGATCGACCTCTGTTGCATGCACCGCAGGCAAAGGCGCTCGCGAAGAGGCAGAGGACTTGCCAGACTGATGTCCACCCTCACAACCCCTAGCAAGCCCTCTCGGAAGGAGGGAACTGCTCTGCTTTTGCAACTTCCGCATTTCTGAATACGCTTTCAGCTCTTCCGGCTGCAGAATGCGGACCATGTGATCGTTGCAAATGCTTTTGAGCGTGTTCCAAGGATTTTCGTTGCTAGCCACATGGCGGAGTGAGGAAACTGGCACTTTATCCACAATTGTTTGGATGCGTTTTGGCAAAACATCCTGGGGCACGCCATGCGAAATCAGTAAGGTGGCCAGGAAAGTTTTAAGAGATTCTAAATCACGCGCCACCCCACCTCTCAAAGGAAATGCACGCACCCGTAAGACTGCTCCATGCCCAATCTCACTTAGCAACAAGTCAAGCTGGCATAAGCGCCCATTTTGACAAAAACAAAATTGCTGCGAAGGTACCCTAATCAGTTCCGCAACATGCCCATGAACAAGCTCAACACTGCTGCTGGGTGATGCCCGAAGTTGGTGCAAGTGGCCATCCAAGCCCACAACCCAAATGTCAATGGAACCTGACGAAGTGTTTGACAGCAACCGTGGCCCCTTCGCACTCAGCCTCAAGCATGCGACCTGCAAACTGCCCAGCACCAACAATCCCGCATCCACTGATGGCTCAGCAATGGCAATGCACCAGGACACGAGGGGCCCTACCCCATGAGTCCTGTCACAAGTGATTCGGCGCAGAAACGCGACACTGACAAAGTGCAAAACCTCCAAGTAACTGACTTGCGCAATGCAATGCTGTGTCTCTTGCTCACTGAGCCTGCCAGCACGAGCAATAATGCTCTCATCGCAGGCCGTAGGCTGAGAAGTGTCAAAAGAAGCAGGCACGCACAACAGTCTGAGTAGTACATGTGTTGCCATAGGCACCCCGTACTCGCCAGCGGAAAGACAAGGCCATCACGTACCACGGCGTGCAAAAACCCGGCCAACTTTCCAAGTAGCTTTTGGCATGGTGCACAAGGATGGAGTAAGGTCGAAAGGCTTTGACGCACTATCTGCACAACGTGACCCATGACATGGCATGTCAATTTGCAGCAAACAGGCAAAGCATCAAGTGAATCATGCGACACAGTCGTCAAGTGATTCTGGGAAAAGGACTCACTGAGCAGTCCATGCAAATCACCAACATAATCCGTCTGTGTCCCCATGCTCACACAATCAGTGCAATTGACAGTGCGCCCCGTCGCACTGAGATTGTCAGATGGCGCAAGCAATCCTGAAGCCAGAAGGCTAGACTCCAAAGAGTCCTTACAAGCAAGAGCACCCTGTGCCATCATCACGCAATCGGTGCATGCACAAATGACACAAAATGCAGCCATGGCGGCAAGGGATGAAGTCATAACAATACCCCAACAGCAGAACCACCAACAAGAAAGATCGACGTCAGTTGAAAGCAGGCACACCCCTGGCAGGCTCGATCCAGAGTGCCTACAAACAAACACACGAACAAGCAAACCAGACATGACAATACAAAGTCCTAGTGGAGGCACAGCAGGCTCCCAACCCTCCTTAACGATTGTTTGAAAACACTCATCGTAGAATTCCAAAATTGTGAAACCTACATGTTTGGTCGCAAAACTCTCCCACACCCACACCTGCAGCTCCATCGTACCCTAAATGCCTGCAATCTCAGGAGTTGCCATCCAAAACTTTAAATCCCCAAGCGCTCTCGGAACTCCTTCCAGGCTGGTGTACCCAACTGAGTTGCACTCCGATTCAGCTAAGCAGCAGCCATGGTCGGCGACGTCCGAACCGGGTGTGTGTTTTGTCAGACAGCGCACCAATCAGTGTGTCATTGAAGGCATCAAATAAGCCTGTCTCAGTGCAGCGTATTCAACTCTGAAGACTCATGATAATAGAAATACCCCTGCAAAAAAGACCGATGTTCAAGCGGTAGTGGCACACACTTTGGGCGTAAGCATATCAAGCAGTTTCGGCTTCTGCTATTAAGCGGATTGCTTAGCAAAGACAGGCCTGAATTGCACGCGACTATCATGAATGTCTGTGGACGGGAAAGTGGTTCCACCCATTATTAGGACACTCCGTGCAATCTCTGGGCTGTAGCTCGTGCGGAGAAAGCTCTACCACCCGTTTTAACCTTTCGAACAGATCGGGAAGGACGTCTGAAGCCCTGGAGCTCCAAACCAGCCCGAGCTGCCCACGCAGAGCTGGATGATTGCGACAAGCGCAGGTTCAATGCAGCAAGTCTCAAGGAAGAACTTGTTCAGGTAAAAGCCTCCAAGGCAGTCTTCGCACTTATGCCAGGACTCATCTTCTTGCTTTCCGGCTGCCGAAATGTCAAGGCTGAGAAGGTAAATGGACCCACCCGGCCGAAGATCTAAGAAGCAAGAGAAGCCCTCGGGGAAGAACCCGTTTCAAAAACCCACCCCTGGATGACCCTGCGCCTCCGACGGTGATCCAAATGCCTTCCACGCCCTGTCCCAAACCGAGCAGCAGCTTGGAGCGCAAGGACAAGGCATCCTCTGCCTCTCACAAAGCTTTGAAGGCTGGGGCCCTAGAGCTTCGTACAAATCCAAGACTGCGGGGCAGCAATACTTAGACCAGAGTGGTCTTATTGGTGGTCGCAAGATGTCCCGCTTCTCCAACAGCGGGTACCCTTAGAGAGTGGCTTGAGAGACCAAGGAACGCCAGGACCAGAGGCTTCAGCTTTCCCGGCTGCCATCGCCCATGTATTTCAGCACAGACGCCCTACTCACTCTATTTTCGTATCAATCCTTGCTCCTGGCTGGCAGACTGCTGTTTCTTTTGTTCCCAAGGACTGCGAAATACATGCATGCATGCATACATACACGGTGTCAACGGTTCTATATGGCTTTTGGTGCCTTACCTTGCCGCCTCTCATACCGCAATGTCAAGTAGGGACTTTCCTGTGAGCCAACATGCGGCAAGCCATACCATCACCTGGCGAGAACGAAGATACCCGAAAACCAGAGACTACTTAGCTGCGCCAAACAGGAACGCAGAAACCTTTAAACTCGCGGTTGCAGGGGTTCCTGCTTGGTCTGCATGTTGCGCTCCAACACGCACACGAAAAATGCTTGCACACAGCGACGTGTTGCAAGCGGTGTATTACTCATGGGCATCTTCATTTTGTAGCTCCCACTCTGACGAGTGAACAATGAAAAGTGTGGCCGTCTTAAACGAATGTTGGCTCTGATCGAAAACCCGTCACCTGCGAGCTGGGCAGCATATGGGGACAGCAGGTCTAAGATCTCGCCGCAAACTTCACAAATCTGCACTAATGTTGAGCAGACTATGTAAGGATCACAACTGTCAAGCGGTTGTCATGCTATCTGCCCATCCGCAGATGGTCCATGAACTATGTCAAGTTCGAAAGCCAGCTTTATTTGCTGCAGGTGTCATTGTAGAGACATCTGTGTGCGGCGTGCCACTGAAGTTGAAGTTTGTACTGTTGCCTGCGCTGCAAACGCCTTTTTGTCATGTCTGCTCAAACCTCTGGCTCCTAGGCCCGAAATCTCAGGAATCCCCCAAACCTCGAATGCGCATCCCAGGCCTGAAACTTCTCCAAAGCCAGAAACACCCCAAACCCACAATATATCCACAAATGCTGCTGTCCAAGATTCAGATGGCGCCACGGCGTCGCGCGGGGAGATTGAGCGAGCTCCACGCTCCACAGAGGGCGCCTACAAGGAATGAGGAACAGCGAGTCTCAAATAGCCAGACAAAATTAGGTGTCAAAGGTCTGCTTTGCAATGCTGTCTGAGCAGTTCGTAGCAAGACTTGCTTTTTAGCAGAGCGTGGCCAGGTTCCTAGCACATGGCTACTTCAAAACAGGTTGCAAACTTCCCAAAGCTGGGCAACAGCCTACGTCATCAGTAAGTTGGCCACGGCCAAGTGTTCCTCGAATGTCAAAGGAGCCTTGGCAGATGCTGCGGCCGAGGTGACCTGGGCTCTCAATACGCGTAGCATTCACACGCAGACACACACACACACACATAGACACACATACACATGTCGGCGGCAAAACTTCCACGATCAATTTTCACATCTGTAACAGCACAGTCTGCAAGCTTCCACATGCAATTCAGCAAAGAGTCCTGGAAAAGTCTTGAAGTGTAACTACCCTTCATGCCTACAGCTACAGTCTCAGGGCCCAAGACCAAGAAGTCGAGTCAAGGCCATCCAACTGTGCAAGTTCGGCTTATAACTGGAGACCTGAACGACTACTGAATGAGAGCATGTATATTTCGTCGCGCATGCTGCGCATTGTAGCCAGTAGTCATTGCAGTGGCATGATCGTCATCTGGGCATCCGACAGGGCTTGAAAGATTCACCCTATACTTGGAGGATCTTTGGAGGCCGAGCCCTTAGACAAGTGCATCGTTCCAGGAACCATTCCTGTTTTGAGGCCAGGGCGGATGCAGACCGGATCGGGGATGTCTCTAGCGAGAGCCCTCAAGCGGATGTCTTGCAAGTCAACAACTGAGTTCAGCGGTTTTCCCTTCAAACATGCTTGCATCAAGGCAGGTGACGAGAAAAACAAACAGCAAAACTAGCAAACGCCTGACACAGACTCGTTCCAGACTCAAGGCGTTCACTGCCTGCATCTGCCATCTTTTCAGCCTGCACTTTAAAAGCACACACGCGGAGAGCCTCCACAGTTCTACTGAAATGCTTTTGCATATTGCCCTTTGCCAGAACCTGCCTCCCCCTGACAGAGAGCGCACAACAGGGCGGCCGGTGAGCAAGCTGCGACCAGACGCCTGTGAAATTGGTGCGCAAGGCTGGCGAATCCAAGATTTTGGATACAGGGACCATTTTAGGCAAAGCAAGGAAGGCCGAAACAAATGTTACATGCAGGCACTTCTCATCTTTGAAGCGTTGGCTTTCAAACTGCTGGTGCGTCAAACGCCCCTGCAGCTCAACACACCTTCTGGAAGACTTCTTGCAATTCAGTAGAGATTTCTCAGAAGAGTCCTGGCAAGAATGAGGATGTGTCAGGATCTTGCAGCAGCGGCACATGAAAGGTTCAGCCTTAGGGGCCTTCGGAACAGCAAAGGTCTTGCCCATTGGCAGGCGCTGATGTCCAAAGACCTGACACAGCAGGCTGCACATGAAGACTCACACTACTGTTGAATCATTCAGGCCAGCTCTTTGTAGCCGAAAACTCCGCTGGCAACTCACTTCACAAGCACTCGCGCGCGTGCCAATTGCAGAAACACTCCACGATTTTCCTGATTCTATGCGCACATAAATCATCTGCGTCTTGAATTTTTATGCGTGCATGAATCATGCTCCTGTCAAGTTTGCAACTTGTGTGAAGAATCGATACTCGTCAGACCTCTTTCACGGCCACTTGTACTCTCAAGAGTTTGCTCTGCAACCAAGAAATCCAGTGAAGTGCTTCTGGCAAAGAGACTTGCTAAGTACTGGAAGGGAGACTGCCGTTCAGGGTATGCTCTGTAGAACCCCTGTAGCATTCTGCAGTGACTTGCAAACACCAAACCACGATTCCCACATCGCATTGTTTGCCCCTGACCCGTAGCATCACCCGTAGCAGGTCTTCACCCGTACTCATCATTAGCCCGCAAACACTTTTTGCCCCCCTAGATCGCAAGCCGCACCTTCACAATCAGCGGGGCCTCAGCAGGACAGGAAGAGGTGCTCCATTCTTTAAGGTTACCCGGGTGTGTGAGGCCTGCAAGATTCTGAGACAGCTATTGCGTGATGAAGCTGCCCAGGCAAGAACTACTTGCCCAGAGATGCTAGCTGTCACTACCACTATTATACCTGTCCAAGCAAGTACGTAGACTTCTCCTAGGCGGAAACAGGCTCCACACCCTGTTCAAAAGCTGGACCAAGCTGCCTGAACCCCAAGCAAAACCAAAGACACCTTGAGACCCAAACCCTCTTGGCCCACCGAGAGGCAGCCTTTGCATGCGGATGGCCATACGCCACAGCCAGGGGTGCCTACTTTTGAGCGGCGCGGGCTTCTAGTTGAAGCCGCGGGCTGAGGATTTCCGTCAAGGGGGAGTTCGGATTCTTGGGTTTTTGTTTGCTCTTGGACTTTGTCCCATGTGAATGTAAGGTAGTCTTGCAGGCCATGAAAGAACAACTGGCGGAGTTGAGGAGGCGGAAAGGGCATGTCTTTGAGTGGATGCAGGGCTAAAACGATTTGGAGGTGCTGCCCGTGACTTTGACTCCATGCTGCTGTGCATGATGCAATCATCCTTTGGGAGACGTTCCAGGATGAGGCGAGTGGTATCCCCGTTACAATGAGGGAATACCTGAAAAAGTCTAAGGGGCCAAGCCCTTCCTTTCAACTTCTGCGAGCCAGCGCCACCAAAAACAAGCTGGAAGCAGACAAATCCAGCAACTTTGGCACCAAGTGGCTGTGGTGGTCTACCTTCTGTTCACGCTGCAACCGGTCAGCCATGAACCTAAGCGAAACCTAGACTCGCAGTAAAATCCCCAAAATTGGCGCCTGCGCGGGTATGGCAGGTGGGCCGGAAGAGAAGAGACTCGATCCTTGGGATTTAGGGGCGGGGGCTAGAGTTGGGGTAGGCAGTGTTTTGGAAATGGGGGGGACTAGACTCAGGGTGTGGATCTCAGCCTTGTGTTGTTATTGCGGCTTGAGTCAGACAACCTGTTGACGTTTGAGACGACTGACCTGGGCTTAGGAATCCTAGGAAGGCTTGCCTAGCAGCCTCTCAACAGACCTTGCTAGGGCTTGCAGTTCAGAGGCGAGAATGATTTTCCTTGAGGCATACTGAGGAGTTTAGTTCTTGTCCACTTGGGAAAGGCAGACTGGTCACGAGTCGCGGATGCTGAGCTGTCAGAATGGCGAATGGTAGGCATTCAAGTAATTTCGTGGTCAGAAACTCAATGTACAAAAAGCAAAAGCGGTGCAAAAACATGCCGTTAGACTGAATGTACGGACCTCACGCGCCTTCTCCTGACACCTGAGATCCTGCAAGGTCCACCTTCGACCCTGGAAACCCCTGCCCTGTAGCCTCATCACACCCAGCTTCTGTTCCCCAAACCACCTCCCCTCGGATGATGCCGCGAAGCCTGAGGCACCTCGACACGGCATCGCCACAGGCAGGGGCGGGCCAGAAGCGGTCTGCGGCGGTTCCTCCTGCACTTTTGGGAGGCGTCCTACGTCCTAGAACTGCTGACTGCTGATGCTGCCTACCGTCATTGCTTCAGGGGTGACACACCAAACCCAAGATGATTTGAAAAAAAGCGATCCTTGTTTCGAGTATGCGCCACCACAGCCCGCAACTCAGTGGCAGCCTTGGCAGGGCACAACAGAGATGGACTGGATCCGGACTGAGCTTCAAGGTCATGGAGTCATGGGGCTTTACACAGTGCAGCAGCGTGGGGTTTTCAACAAAAATGGGATGTGTCAGCTCTCAGACATAAAAAGCATGCATGCATGCACGAGCCAATTTGCGGACGCTCCTTGGCCTGCTGCTTAATCAAACTGAAGCCTAAGCAAAACTGTTCCGAGCATCTATCTATCCTAGGCCTGGCTCCGTTCCTGATGTGAAGGAATGGCACAGATATCAACATGCATAGCAGTTTCTGAGCGCGAGGCCAAGGGGCAGTGACAGAGCTAGCACGGTCATTGCTTTGCTGCATCCTTTTGCTGAATCCTACAGAAAAGCCCGGATTCGTGGCGAGTGCTCCGCAATATCAAGGCCAACAATACTCAATTACAGCATGCCCTTGTCATAGACTGTGGAGAGCACGGACTGTTCAGGCAAAATCTTTCCGTCTGATGAAAGAGCTCCGCAGCAACTGCTGGCCGCATTTTCGATGGAACGCCTTCACCTGGCCTAGTCATACAAAAAGCCAATTGAGCATTCATCAAAATCATGTGCCCCACCTGCCCAGCCCAAAGAGCAACTCACAAAGGAAGGCATATGCGGCAAAGCAGCCATCATCAGAAGGCGCCGATGCCCGAACCTTTTCAGGCCCACAGCAAGTAGTCTTCAGGTCTCATCACTACAACAGGCCGGCCAAAGCAAAGACTTGAATACTACGCTTACGCGCCTTAGCAGACTGCTTGCCTGTTCGTAAGCAGTGTAGCTAGGGCTTTTGCAAAATATCATTTCCTGAATCCCAGAAGCACCTCAATCCTTGAACTCTAACTCCTGCTCAAGCCACGCCCACACCCAGGCCCTTAAAAGGATCCAGAACCCTGTGGTCCCACCTCACAGTACGCTCTTTCTGTGGGGAGTACAGAATCCAGTCCTCTAAATCCTCCTAAAAGTCTGGATGATAAAATGGCTAATTAACTTGAAAGCCAAGAGCTTCCGAACTTGGAGTTCCTCGAAATCTTGCTCGGTAAGGGTGAGCCTCACTCCGGCAATTGTGTTTCCGCTTGGTGGGTCTACGGCGCTGGGGCTCCGATTTCAGTTCATCACAGCTTTAGGGCAGGGCATCAGACCTTGGAAGAAAAGCAAGCTTCGCGCTCTGGACCAGTGGTAATTGCTTCAGTACTGACTGAATTACCTGTACACTCCCTTCGCTTCAGGACGAACCTTGTCCAAAGGGCTTGGACATTGGACTGGCTCTACAATGATAGCGGCTGCTTGGGATGCAGTAGTTAGAATCGCTGGGAGTTCCGTGGGGCCGGATGTTCACGAAACCACTGCTCCACTGCTCCATGCTGTAGCCCATGTCAAAAAGATACCTCCACCTGTTCATCCTCGTCTTCTTCATTGTTACGACCATTAGATTAGTTCACTCTTTTGTAGTTGTGTTCACGAGCTCACGAAAGTCATTAGGAAAAGAGTGAACTGAGTGAAGAAAATAGAGTGAAGTGTCGTGAGACCATAATTTGTGCTAAGTAGATTCCTTTCCTGCACTTTTTCAAAGCAAATTAACTCCCTCACTCCTTTCATCTAATGCCTCACATGGTCGTGTGATTGTTGATTTTGCGAAGTGAAAACAACATAACAAGAAACGCAAAGGAAAAAAAAAGAAGCACACACTCACGACTCCACAGGACCAATCCCAAGGTGTTACACGCTTATAGCTGAAGAACCTGTGAAATGATAAAGTGAATGAGCGAAGTAAATCAAACGAGCGTGCGTGAGAGAAATAGCTTCAGTACCCTCATGCTTGGGACCTTGCAATACACCCATTCATCTTCACACAGCCAGGGTACAGCACGTTGCCGGTTATGGCTTGCTCGCGGATGACTTCTGCCAGCTCCTTTGCACACGGATCCCGCTGCTGGGGAGGCTTCTAAGGCAGGTTTGCCTAGTGAGTGCAAGCTTCCTTGTGTGCTGTTCAACACCATCAACATCAGCAAGCACCTCACAATCTTATCCTGCCCCCGACTGCTAGGTCAAGGATTTCTCGAAGCTCCATGTCGAAGGAGCCTGCGCCTTTGATCTTGAGACCTCTAAGTGACGACAACATGTAAATGGATGCTGACTCTGAAGTAGGCACCCATCAAGCGAGCGCTTTCCAGGTCTCAGGCCAGTCCTTGGGAGCTAAGCTGACTTCCAGCAACCACCGGATTACTTCCTCTTCTTGCCACTCCTGGAACAAAGCTCTGGGATGCAGGAGCTTGGGGCTTCGTGCTTGGTTTGCTCTGAGGCTTCTGGATCTTCTGCTTTCCACCTCTGACACTACTCACTGTTCCAGTGACGACATCTGGGCAGCTGTGAAAAAGCTCTCCCCGCAAAGTTAAGACCTTGATCCCAAAAACAAGCACACAAATCGCTGTCGCACAGGTTCGATTCCAATCCTTCTGTTGCCTTTGCTTTCCATCAGAGAGATTTGCACGAATGATTTGTGTATCCATCACCTTCTTGCACAAATCGGGTTAGAGGCGGTTGTCTTGGCTTGACGTGGCGGGCTCTCCAGGCGCTTTGACGAAATTCTAGCCACGTGTTTGCAACTGCAACAAACTGCTAACCCCGAGAAGCCCAAACCATCAGCAGAAGCTTAACATATATGAAACGCCAATGTGCGCCCTCTTTAGGCTCTTGGAAAGGACCCCTTCCCAGAATCAAAAGCTCTTCTGTGATGCCTCGCAAGCCTCATCTCAACCACACTTCCCAGGAATCGCCTGAACTGGATTCCGCAGCAGCTCTGCTGCGATGCTGGGCCGAAACTCAGCCTGGCTTGCTCCACCATGACAGGGGTTCACAGGCACAAGGTCTGGACTACTTACTAGAGGGTCCCGGACTTAACTGCTATGCCACACCCTTTGCGTAGCTTTGTGCCACACCCTTTGCATAGCTTTGGAGGGGAAATCCAAGCTGGGCGAACCTGCTTCAGCTCCAGCTGGCCTGACCTTGCATTCTCAGCACTGATCCGCAAACTGCAGGAGCCATCCCCCCATAACCAGGGGAATCCTGGTATAGACTTCTCAACTCCTGTCTAAACCACCCCACTTAAGCTGCCAAATGACTAATGGCCTGAAATGTGGGGAAGCTAATAAGAAAGCCACACCGTTGCACCTTCTCCATAAGCAAAATGAATACATGATCCTACATACACCCAATAGCATCGCTACATAGATCTGCTTGCATGTGTGTGTGTGTGTGAAACCTTTGCGCCTAAAAGGTGTTTGTCTAGATTGTTGAAAATATCAATGCATGAAGTTTTGAAGCCATTACCAAATCACAAAAGCAGGGGCGTGTGGCATCTGTATCCTACCACACGCAACGAAGCTGTGGATACAGATGGGAAGGGGAACTTGGCCAGTTTCCTGTACCTGCATGTACATAACATGTTGCAAGTGATTTGCATTAGGAATCCCAGAGAAGAGTAGATCCGTCAGTGGTGATGCGGCGTGAAGTTGATGTGTTGTAGGTAACCTGTTTTCCATTCATGTCCAGCCATTCAACTTTGAATGGCCTCAGAGCAAAGATTTTCTTAAGACACAATAACAACGAGGAAGAGGAAAGAAAAGGAATAGCTGCAGTGGCCAACTCATTAGACCTCTTGGTCTGCTCAAGTGTGTGTGTGTCTCTCTCTCTCTCTCTCTCTCGCTCTCTCGTTCGTCCATCCATCTGCACATGCAGTCAGGCGGATACGTTTCCACTACCTTGCTGCTGGAGATCTTCCCTTCGGGTGCCGCGCACATGACGGTCGCTTCCCCGATAGACCCTGCTTTTCCTTCGATGAAGCCCCTTGCAGTATAATACTCCAGAGGTGCCTGTCCCTAAGTTAGGGGCTTGCTCAGAAGTTCGTCGCCAAGTGTTCTGTTGCGTAGGGGCGGGAAGGGGGGCACCCAGCTACCGGGCGAAGTGAAGTAACCTCATCAAGCCCTCTAAAATCAGCAAAAGCTGACAAATCCAATTAGTGCACATGAGTGATACTTGAGCTTCAAAGCTGTTGTTCTTCACTCTACAGTGATCCTTGAGAGCTCTTCAGGTCTTGCCCCTCCAAAGAAAGGAAGGAAAGAAAGAAGCCAGGGCTTCTGAAAGGCTTGCAAACAGTTGCGGAAGGCTGGAGGAGTCCTTCATACTTTACATGGCCAGCATTGGCACGACTATTAAAGGAGGCGTTGAAGAGGCGCTTGGCCCATCCTGCAAAAGAGTGAAGCACTCTTAGATGTGCGGCCCGTTCATGTTTGATCCGTGGCCGGCTCTGGCGTGAGTTTCGAAGGGCAGGCTCTAAAAGGCCCTTTTATCGCTATCTGGGCTTTACTCAAGCCTTGTTTTGCTCCGCGTTGCAAGGCTGTTTTGCTGCCTTTTCACCTGGCAAAGACCTCTGGCGACATAACGGCGCGCGCCTGAGAGTATAGAGAGCAGTGATGGCAGGCCTGTTCTGGAGCCCTTGGGAATGCGGATGCCGTTGTGGGGTAATGAGATCAGATCCTTGCCATGCGAGCTGCTTTTCTCAAAGCAGCTCTTCCGCAAGCCGTGTGGCCGCAAGGGTTGCAGCTGTTGCAGTGTGTTGGCATGACCTCTTCAGGACGAACAAGTCCCAATTGTGGTCTGTCTCTGTCTGAGGCTGAAGTGCTGGACATCTTCCGATGGATCATAATCATTGGGTACCTTTGCATCTACAAGGCGCTGTATGTCTCGAGATCAGTGCAGCATGCTTGTGCTGCTTTGTGAATCACACTTGTCTTTGGTCGTGCCTTGGCAAGGTTTGGCGCACGTGCGAGGACTACGTGCGGGACGGCTACTCTGGGCTGCGGTATGTGCTCTGGCGATGCTTATCATCTATAGTGCTTACCAGAGTGAGATCAGTGTTGGGGGTTTCTACATGGCAGGCCACTGACGGAAAGAATTCTATGTAACTTTCTGAATTGCTGTCGAGAGGTCAGCCCCTGAAAATATGAGTCCCAGACATTGGCCGTGTAGCACAGCCGCGAAAACATTCCCTGAGAAGATCGCATGCGCCTCAGCTTAATGAGCAGTACTATAAGGACTGCAAGGCCATTTGCTTCCGCTTGGAATCCAGGTTTCAAACCTCACCGGATGCCTGCAGCATCCAAACACAAGAACAGGGTTCAACACACCCAAAGTTGTGTGAATTTGGCCGCCTCTCCTTGTTTTATTGCCTTTTCAAACGCAATCCTGCGACCTGCAACAACCAAAAACAATGGTAGTGAAAACAGTGACACTTATCCTCATGACGGTGATCACAGGCCACGGCGAATCAGCAATGCGACGCACGAACAGCAGCAATAATTATCATGGTCACACTCACAAGATGATTACTTAATGTAAGCAATTCATGAACAAAATTGAGGACTAGCAATAGGCTACGCTGATTGCCTCCAGCTCTCGTCACAGGTACTGTCGACTGCTGGCATCGTAGACGCAGCCGCCATCGCAAATTTCATAGCACTCCAGTGCGCTGAGCTGGAAGAGACTGAGGGGTTGCTTTTCTAGGACTCTGAGAATCGGGAGATTAGGTAGACATTATGGTGTCTGCCAAGTATGGGGGCTGGTTTTTGAGGCGCCTAGTCCGTCGTACTCAGGGATTCTCCAGATGTTTGCGATCCCTTTCGGGTTTTCGAATGATTGAAAACTGCCATATCGTGATTTGGTGAGGTGGGGTGCCGGCACCGAGGCCAGGAATTTCTTCAGAACAGGCCTACAACAAAGGCTTGTGAACAAAATCCCGAGTATGTGGGATGGCTTGAAAATGCCCACATTGACAGGGTTGACTGAGATTGAAGTCATGTTCTGTGACAATTAAGTTTCGTTCAACATTATCGGAGGCACCCATGTGGTTTGAAGAGGTTGTTGCGAACTCCGACCTGTAACTTCCTACCCGCAAGCGAGGTTGATTCATGAGTTGGAGGATTCATGAGTTGGAGTAAAGATTTCTCTCCTCTAGGCTAGCGGCCCTTCAAAGGCCAAACAAGCTTTGGAAGTCTAGATCCCCTGCAGGCCGTAAGCCTCCCTGCGCTGAGCTCCCTCCAGAGTATCAGAAGATGTCGTATACCTCTTGAGCCATTCCAGGTACTGGCGCCTAAGCAAGGTGAAGCCGGTTGAGCCAATGAGCTCTAGCAACAGTCAGGCACGTGCTTTACTGTGCACAGGGCTTGTAAAGGTGAAGCCACAGGCTACAGGGTTGGTGGAGGTGAGCGTAGAAGCTGCGACAAAGGGTTTCTATGTTGACCGCTGTTCTGCATACAGCGGGACAGCCCCCCATGCTCTCTGACATGGTGCGAGACGCAGTCTTCACAGTGAGGGCCCTGCTTTGAGCCTATCCCTGCTGACAGAACTTCGTGTCCTACAGCCGCTGGGCATCATGGGAGGACGCCAGCTGTGGAATCCAAGTCTATGCTCTGCATTTACACCCTTGTAATACCCCATCGTGGGTGCTACTGCAGCTGCTGCGGTCTTGCAATTCTGCTAGTATTGCTATCGCTTCGTGTCTTGTTAGCCGGCTTGCCCTTCGTGAAGAACCGCAGGAGACAACACCCCTGTCAAGCCTTGACATCCCTCGACTTGAGCCTTATAACTTAAAAGCTTAACTGCAAGCAAGGCGAGACACCGAGCCTTAAACCCAAGCCCCAAAGTTTGGCCATGCAGCATTCGGTAGACCTTACATGCACATCCCCGCCACAGGAGATGGCAGCAATAGGCGAGGCTGTGCTGGTCTTCATTCTGATCGTCAGGCAGGGGAGCAGCAGCTTTCCAAGATGTGTGGGGAATAGCGTATCTATGAGCGTCAGCATGGGCGCAGTCCGGTGCAATCCTGCATTGCGTGGTGGGTCGCACTGAGATTATCTCCGAATGCCAGCTAGTTGGATTGGAAGGTAGATTAGCAACTTATCTAGGCTATGAACCAAGCTGGTCAACTCAACACTTTGAATTTGGACATGACTCGACAAGGGGGTCACCGCTACACTGCAAAAATGCGCGTGTTCTCGTGTTCCAACTCAACAGGGAATGTATTCTCCATGTGGAGGATGTTTGGTATGAAGTGTGCCTGGTCAGGTACACAATGCTGCTTCGCTTCTACCCTCCTGTGTATCGCTTCTTCGTGCTCTTTGGCAAGTCCTTCCGGGTGGGCTTGTGCGCCAAGTCCTGCAGCCAAGATTGCCTTGTAAGCCGAGTCAGGCTTGATGGTTCCTTTGGTCCTCCTTAAGCCTTGACTATATGATCGCATCGCGGCAAGGTTTAATCAAGGCGCCTAATTATCCGACATCGGGGAGAGAAGCTCAGCAGCACAGGTACTACTTGGCCATCTTCTTGCCAGTGGCAGCGTCCACCATTTTCTTTGCCAACTGCTTGTACGGCCCGCCAAGACCTTATGCAGCTTCATGACGCGACTTTCCGTAGTGAGTCTAAGTAGGAGAGCTGATGGACATGTCTTTGAGATAGCTTGCTTCTGAGCTAGTTGCTTGTAACATCCTATCACCATGGCAACTGGTGGAGAGGATGAAATCATCCTGCCTTGTTCTTGAGATCTGACACCCTATATGAGTTACCCACTCACGTAGGCACATCAAGTTCAAGCGTTTACACACAACGTCATATAAATCTGGTTCCTGTCAAAATGAGTTCACGGAGAATCGTAACGCAGATAAGAAGCTGCTTCCTTGCCTTTTCTTTGGAGCTGCTTTCCTTCGTTTTGTCAGTAGGGAATGAGCTAATGGATTCCGATAGTGGGCCCCTTAGTTAACCTATACCTTGTTTGCTTCCTCAAACAAGCCAAGCATCCTTCCAAGGTATGTAGAAGCTTACAGCACCTGGGTGAAGTCCTTGATGAGCTTTGTGGCGGAAGGCTCAGGCAGTTCTCTGGGGTCAAAGGCGCTTCAAACTTACTGGTGGCTAGTAGGGAATAATGGAGCATAATCCGTATATCATATCTTCCCTTATTCCCTACTAATCCCCAGCCCAGCTAGGCTTTGTTGCTGTTGTACAAGCAGTGCTTAGCAAGCCAAGTTCTCTTAAGCAGTCTTTCTGTGGCTGAGTCTGTCCTGCAAAACGTGGTGGACATTGATGCCCTTTACAAAGCAGCGCCGGCCAGAGACTTAACATGGCTTTTGATTGCATCTCTTGCTGCAGAAGTTGATTCTGCAATTGGGATTCTGGATGAAGCCGATTCTACGACGATGTTGTTGTTTCAGAATCCCCTGTATGCCAGTAACATCCTGCTAGGAAGGTCCGACAGGAATTAAGAATCCATTGATTCGAGCACTTGCCCATATACGGAGCCATGCAAAACTACGAAAGGCTGCTCAACGTTCTAGAGGTCGTTGTCTTCGATTGTTTTCGGGGTTCGTGCAAGATCTGCCGAACGACGTGCGGAAAGACACCTCTCTCACTCTCTCTCTCCCACGAGGGATGAAGTTTAGGCATTGTGATTCAGAGATTGCCTGCAATGGTTGCAGGCTCTGAACCTGTCCAGGGGCTCAAGGGTTGTCTGCCGACCCAGCATCTCCCAGTCGAATGAGAAGATTGTATACCCAAAGAACTCATTTGTTTTGCCCAACTTCCCGGATGAGCAGAGCAGCAGAGCAGCAGAGCTGGGGCTTTCTGTCGGCACTCACCCCAGCCTGGGTAGAGTTAAGTAGAGGCTCCCGAAATGTAATCCGAACCCTTCCGGTATCTTCACTGAGTATACCGTGCGAGATGCGCCTCTCATCTGGGCCAGTGCTTGTCGGCTCTTCGGGGTTGGGTTCACACACGATCCCTCGCTGCGCTGTCTCAGTGGTCGCTAGATCTGAGGAACAGGATTTGTGAAAACCCTCGACGGTTTGCGCCCTGCTCCTTTCCAGCAACCCCCTGGCAGTTGAACGGTGTCAGAGCATGCGTGATGGAATGGCCTGGGAAACCCGCATTGATTCAATCTCTTCGGGCTTGCCTACATTATTGGGCCTCTGAACTTGTAGCAATTTTGAGGGTTTTCTGCGCTCGCGAAAGCCATTGTGAAAGCTCAGGGTCGGAAGCCATCAGCTGGCGCAAGCTGCAAGACATTGCTATGCCACAACTGATTCTAGAGAGAGTTTCGAAGGCACTGGCCTGTATACATGATGCAATTACTATTAGTACTACGACTGTTATGACATTACTATGACCTTGTTGACTACTACTACTACTACTACTACTACTACTATTACCACTACTACTACTACTACCACCACCACTACCACCACTACCACCAGTACCAGTACCAGTACCA